ACCTGGGACGTCGGCGGAGGTTCAGCTTTTTCTCTAGTTCAGCGACTTGCACGGCAGTCTTGCCGGTTCCTCCTTGACGATCCTGGTGTGGCAATTGCCCCTGGGACGCCCATGGAGTTGAGGGTGGCAGCCGCCTGTGGTCCATTGCACCTGTTGGCCACGCGGCCGCCCTCTTCTGCGCGCCTCAGTGACCCTCTTGCAACTGGCGTGGGTGCCAAAAGTAGGAAACTGAATGAACTGTACCCGACATCCGCGTGGCGGGCTCTCCATGATCATAGGACACGCCACACCGCAGTCTCTGAAGCCCGGAACCTGTTTGCAAGCCGGTTGTTGCAGTGAATGTCTTTCTGTCGGGGCCCAACTGGCCGCGGAACTTGCGGCATTTCCTGCATCACCGCGCAAACCCGCGCTCGCTGCTATCCCCAACCACGGCGAATGCGATACCTTTCCTCCCCGTTGCCCGCGACTAGAGGCCTCAGCGTCTGGCCCAGGCCAACGATCCCCCTGCTCCCCAGCAACCACCTTCGGCACCGCCTGACATGCACTGTCCGCTCGTTTCCAAGGTCGCTGGAGCGGCTTCAGGGGTCCTCTTCCTTCAGGCCGCCCTCCTCCTGCTTGCTGCCCCGGCGCGGTCCATGGACAGCAGCTGGTACTCCAGCACGTTCCGCGGCGACGGTACGTACTACGGCCCCAGCAACATCGGCGCCTGCGTGCTGCGCAACCCAGTGCCGTCCTACTACTCCGGCATGATGCCCGTCGCCATGAACATCCGCCAATTTGAGGACTCCGCCTCCTGCGGGACGTGCCTCCAGGTTTGGGGATCGGGGAATGGCGCAGGCGCCAACCCCATCACGGGCACCTTCATGGCCTTTGTGTCCGACAACTGCCCTGGCTGCAATTGGGGCGACTTAGACCTGGCCACCTACGGCGACGGTCGCTGGGACATTGAGTGGACGGCTGTCCCCTGCCCCGACAGTGAGATCACCTTCAAGCTCGAAGGCAGCCACCAGTGGTACCTGAAAGTGCAACCGCGGGGCATGAAGTTGCCCGCGACCAGGGTGACTATCGACGGCCGCTGGGCGGAGCGCACTGGGGACAACTTCTTCGTGATGCTGCACGATTACGGAGACGGGTTCAACTTTCCGGTGCCCATCACTGTGGAGACGGTGCTGGGGTGCACGTACAGCACGCAGCTGAACGGCTACGGCGGCGACGGCAACGGAGTGGAGCGACCTGGGGGCCTGATGAACTACGACTGCAATGGGATGAGGTCACGAACACCCCCACCAGTGCAACGAGTGCCCCCGCCAGTACAACAGGGTCCCCCGCCAGTGCAACGGGTACCACCTCCAGTCCGACCTTCCCCGGACACGGGAGGGCAAGGAGCCTGCGCGCCTGTGTGGGGTCAGTGCGGAGGCATTGGCTTCAACGGGCCGACTTGCTGCAACGAGGGAGAGTGCGCCAGGTCCGACGAGTGGTGGTCACAGTGTCGGCCGGGCGCGTCACGTTTGGATTCCGGGGTGTTCGTTCAAGAGCAGCTCCATGTCGACCCGTACAAAGAGCAGGCGTATACGACAGAGCCGATTCAGGAGGCGCCACAGGTCCAAGCCTGGACGGAGAACCAGGGAGCCTGTTCCGGCGTGTGGGAGCAGTGTGGCGGCATTGACTGGAACGGGCCGACTTGCTGCAGCGAGAGAAAATGCGTAGATTTCAATGAGTGGTACTCACAGTGCCAGTAGCGTGGAAACCAGCGGGCTGACGATAGGGAAGTTCCAGAAATAAGAGCCCCGTAGACACCGGTTGAGCGAGGTCTCTGGAACACGCGTGAGGGCACGTGCGTTGAGTTCAATGAGCGGTAGCGCGGGAAAAAGTTCGCTGATGGCTGGAAATTCCAGGAATAAGAGCGCCGCCGACATCAGCTGCGCGAGGTGTGTGGAAAGCGCATGACACCTGGAGGGAACTCGTTGCGTGAAGGACTCTTTCAGAGCCTGGAAGTCGTTGCCCTCCCCGTCACATGGTGAACGATTGGAGCAAGAATGGAGTGTTGCAAAACACTCTCAGCGATGCATGGACTTGAGAGGCACAGTTTCTGACGTGCCGCTCATGTGCCCTGGTATGTAGTTATTCCCTGTTCCTCAGGAATGTGGTGCTTCTACAGCACGAGGCATGGGACCGTTGCCGTTTGTATTCTGCATGCCGCATCAGCCCGTCCGTGAGAAGAAAATTGATTTAGACATCACCACATCTCCACGATTCCCCTGATGATGCACACATTAGCAAAGCTAGAGAACTGCCACAGACCATCAACAAAACAAAACGGTGGAAATTACAAGACGGCCGAAGCTAAATTACAAAGTGAACCAGCAATGCCCAGTTGTTTCTTGCTCAGAGCAGGCTGATACTAGGCAGGCAGGAAAGCGGAAAGCCATTGAGCTTACAGTGGGAATCAGTACGCGGAAGCAAAGATGCATCATATTCTGTCCCCGGTGGAAATATTCAAATTGTGGCAAAATGTTCTGCACGGGAGTCCCACAATGACGGCCACGTCTCACAGCCAGGGAGTTGAGCTCGGGGCTAATGATGGTGCAGAAGCCTGAAGAGATGGGCGTGCCATCGTGCGATCAAGGAACTGTTCCAGTTGGATCTCAGAGCCCAGCATTTAGGGAGTTAACTTGCGCATTGGGGTGTTCGAATTGTTGAAATATTAAGCATTGGCAATGACCCTGCTGCATGGGATAGACTGAGAATTTCACCACGGCAAACAGGACAAATCACAACTGCATTCACATAACACAATGGAAACGAAAATGATGCTTTGCTATTGGCGTTCATGAATGCACCGTCAGACGGTGACCGTCTGCCAAGCAGAGAGGCGCCTGAGAAAAAGACAATAAAAAAATGTAACGAAAGAAATGGCCACAATTTTGCACATCGCAAGTCGTGGTGATATGGTACCCCACAATTCAGGGCCTTAGATGCCTGGCGGGATTAGCAGCTGCATCTATATTCAGAGACCATGGATTGAAACGTTGGTTAATTCAAGGGCATAGAGTTAAGCATGGATGGGAAATATTGTGGAGACCGTCCCTGAAGTGCAGCTGTGCAACATACCCCTTGTGCAACAGTTCGATAATTCATGGGAAAGCATGAGCGAATGAATCCCCTGCCATACAAGTTTAAGTTACAAGTTTGCTATTCAACGAACTGCGGCCAGGTGGACGTGCCTAATTAGCAACACACCCCGGAAGAGCTACCCGTCAGTGGTGAATAATTAATCTAACAAGAATCTATCTCGTAAAAGAGTCGCATATCCTAGATGTGGAATAGGGCATGGAGGGGCCTAATATCAGGGCATCGAGGATATGAGCACCATATTCTGGGATATGGCGAGGATATGGTCTGGGATACGGGCGACCATATTCAGGGATACGGCCGCCCGTATTCAGGGATACGGCAATGTCCTGGATATGCACATCCAGGACATGCAATTTTTTTCGACGTGTCCCGTGCAAGGTAAATTTTGAAGGCAAAGATATCTTCGCCCTCTGTCGGCAGAGTGCTGAGTCATTTGTTTAGTTCGGCTCTGTTTGGGCAAGCGCATCGGTTTTGTGTGACGACCCTTGTCGGGGACGTGGGCTGACTAGTCAGATGCAGCACTGCATCTCATTGATTCAACTCCGTCATGGGCTGCCATGGCAGATACTTTACGTTGGCCACGAGTGAATTCCATTGACGTCAACTGTCTTGCCCGTGGGTTCGTGAGTGTGGATTGCGTTGGTGATCTGGAGGTTCTAGGGATGTTCTGATCCGTTTGGAGCAAATTTGATGCTTGGCTTACCAAAGGACCGGGCTCGATGCGAATGAGGCGCAGGCGTTGGAGGTGCGAAGGCGTGGATAGCGCATTCACACCACCTTATAGCATTTTAACCTGAACATAAGCCCCTCGGTGGTCCACCAGCGCTTTTTGGCCCTCCGCAAATCTCCCATGCGCTTGGAGATCCCCACTTGGAAACGTCCGGACGCTTGTAAGCCAGTGTTCTCTCTGACTACCTGTCGGAAGTCTGCCCGCAATCTGGGTTCCAATGGGGTCAACTCGCGAATTGACTGCCAAGGCAAGGGTGCCAATGCACGACCGCCCACAAGATGTGTTGCTCCTATAACCTCCCTGTGAAACTTCGCGGGGGCAGTGTCTTTTGATTTGGAGCAGGCTTGTTATTTACACCGTAAACACGGATCGTATTGTATTGTATTTACGTTTTCAAGCGTAAAAAGAACCCCTTTTTGCAATTTACGTTTTCACGTGCAAAAAGATAAACGTAAAAATGTAAACGTAAACGTAAAGACAAGCCTAATTTTGAGCTTTGGTTTCTTGACATGAACATTGAATTGCATGTCCACCAAGAAAAAGTGAATTTTGTGCCACCGAAAGCACAATTTACAAGGTTCGCGTCTGCTCGGGGCTACAATCTCCCGTGCACGTTCTTTACGGGCGACTGGGGGTGGCGATTTAGATCCCCGAAATTTGGGAACTCCCGGCCGCCCATCTAAATGATGGTCAGGGAGAATTCCACGAAACGCATCAGAGTTTTAGAATGCACCAGCCAGCCGGTCACGGGATACTGTGACAGTATACTGTGACGCATTACGTAATGCGTGCTGCCAGACGACGTCCTCATCAATGCCAGGCCGCCTCGAATGTTCAACAGAACCCAGACTCAGGTACCCCATCGATCAAGCGCTGCATTTAGAAAGAAAGGGAAAAAACGCTGACACGCGTGATGCCACGATCATTTGGCATTGCACGGCGGCCTGACCGTCACGGCGAGTTCCCTGTGCAGCACCTGGCCGGCACGAAATTGGCACACACCCGTATACGAAAACGTACTGCGAACCGCACGGCTGAGAACGGGATGATGGATTGTGAGATTGCCCGAGCGTTGGTGTACTGGCGATGACGTGACAGTTCATCGTCGGGCTGCGCTCCCAGATCGCATGCCCACATGTTGCAACATCGCGCGCCCTCGGACGGAGGTGGGCGGAAGAGGAGGGCGGGTGTGGGTGCGGGATTCCGCCGGGGACGCGTGGGCCCGGGAGACTCGGCCAGGCAGACGGCCTGCCTCAGGAAATCCAGAATGGAGACGGGGAAGGTGAGTGGGCAGCGGATGTGGCAGGGATGGGCTGGGCATGCAGCCCGCGCCCCACGCCTTGCATGGCAATCTTACCGCTCCCTCCATGGCGATCCCGGCACGGCGATTGCCCGCGAGGCGTCCACGCGGATGGCAGGGCAATCCGCCCGGGTCCGTCGCGCCTGTTGGACTGGCCATCGTCGTCTTCTGCGCGCCGCGGTGACCCCTGTTGCAACTGGAACGGGGCGCAAATCTGAGTGAGCTTTGCTCGCCCGCGCGGTGGCGCGCGGCCCCCTCCCTGCGGCACCCGGCCCCACCAAGACAGTTTCAGGAGTCGGGGACATGTTTGCAGGCCGTTTGGCGAGACGGCGACTGAACGCGCAGGGGGCTGTGGTGCATGAGCGGGAAGAGTCGCCCTGCCGGGGCGCAACCAACCGCGGAACGTACGGCATACCCTGCATCCAAACCATGTCGAAAACGATGCCCCTCCTCCCCGTTCCCCGCGACTGTCGCTCAGGACTTCCCGCCAAGACCCAACCATCGGCTTGCTACTTAGCATCCACGTTCGGCGCCGCCTGACAAGCACTGTCCGCTCGATTCTTAGGTCGCTCAGGCCGCGTGGGCGGCCCTCTGCCTCCAAGCCTCCCTCCTCCTGCTTGCCGCCCCGGCGCGGTCCATGGACAGCGGCTGGTACTCGAGCACGTTCTACGGCGACGGCACGTACTACGGCCCCAGCAACTGGGGCGCCTGCGTGCTGCGCGATCCGGTACCGTCCTATTACTCCGGCATGATGCCTGTCGCCATGAATGTCGCCCAGTTCGAGGACTCCGCCTCCTGCGGGACGTGCCTCCAGGTTTGGGGATCGGGGAATGGTGCAGGCGCCAACCCCATCACGGGCTCTTTCATGGCCTTTGTGTCCGACAATTGCCCGGGCTGCAAGTGGGGTGACATAGATTTGTCCACCAACGGCGACGGGCGCTGGGACGTGCAGTGGACGGCGGTGCCCTGCCCCGACAGCCAGATCAGCTTCAAGTTCGAGGGCAGCCACCAGTGGTACCTGAAAGTGCAGCCCCGCGGCATGAAATCGCCCGCGGTGAAAGTCACCATCGACGGCCAGTGGGCGAAGCACTCCACGGACAACTTCTTCGAGGTGTGGAACGGCGGCGGGTTCAACTTCCCGGTGCCCATCACCGTGGAGACGGTGCTGGGGTGCACGTACTCCGCCTACCTGAACGGCCACAGCGGGGAGGAGTACCCCCCGGGGCTGTACAACTACGACTGCAGCGGGGTGGCCAAGGAGCACACGAGCGGGTCGCCCCAGGCCCCCCTGCCCCCCGTGCCTGGCAAGTGCGCCGCCGTGTGGGAGCAGTGCGGCGGGGCCACTTGGCAGGGTGCAAAGTGTTGCAGCGAGGGGGTTTGCTCGGAAGTTAGTTACGACTTTTGGCACTGCGCCCCCTCCGGCGAGCAGCAGCGAAAGAAGGAGGACGCAGCCGGCAGGGCGGCCGACGGGGACAAGGGGGCGGAATGCGGCGGACCTTGGGGCCAGTGCGGGGGGACGCACTGGAAGGGCGCGACCTGCTGCCGGGAGGGGGAGTGCACGGAGGTCAACAAGAGCTACTGGCACTGCGCTGCCACAAAGGGAGCGTCCGAGGTGGCAAAGAACGAGACGGAAGGAAAAGCTGATGGAGAGCTGGAGGCGCTGAAGGAGGGGAGGGGGGAGGTGAGCGGGGACGGCTGCGCGCCGCTGTGGGGACAGTGCGGGGGGACGTATTGGCAGGGGCCCAAGTGCTGCTCGGAGGGAGACTGCATATGGATTGATGACACGTTTTGGAAGTGCCAAAAGTAGACGAGGGGAGACCGCTGGGGCGAGGGCGGCTTATCCTGCCGTGCCAATCACCTTGGAACAGGTTGCTCTCGACAGAACGTCCAAGGGGGGAAGACAAAACTCGTGCATGCAGAGTAGATCCGGCGACGTGTGTAGCTCTGCATGGCCGGGCTGGGTGGACGGGCGGTCGTCTCATCAGCCACTGGGGACATTCGGGGACAGCAGGAGGTGTGGATATGACTCTTTATCGCCAACTGGTGCAGGGATGGAGGAAGCTTGCAGAACGCTCCTGGAGCCATCACTGCGCTTACTGTATCTCAGAAGGGGGATTGCGACCTGTTTTTGGATGCAAAACTGAGATATATATCAGATAATGGTCACCTTCGACTGCCATAACGTCGTGTTGCCCAGACGCCTGAGATTGAAACGTGGGGGTTATACGACCACCGTCATTGCATGCACGCGGGTTTGCGGTGTCGTGGCAGTGGCCAAAGTATAATTGTTTGGGTTGGAGTGCACGAATCGGAGTGCTGTGATATATGGGCCCGAGGCGGGTTGTCAGATCGTGGTCGAGTCGGAGTTAGCATGTTCACAGTGGGACAGTGGGTGTTGCTGAAGCTCGAAGCTTTGGGAATCAAGCGTCCCAGCGCCAACATGCTCGACCGCATCAACAAAGTTATGTGAATAATTGGTCCGCCAGCGACTTCACGATTGATTGAACGAGGTGGGCCAAAGGGGCACTCGCCTCGTGGCAGATGTTGATGCAGCGTTTGAACCCTTGCCATGCGGAGTGGGATCGCGTTCTCGTTGAAGGTTCAGTGACATTGTACTGCAAAATACATGAACGCATGTTGTATCAGGTGTACCCGTTGGCTGTGGACTGCAGTCTTCCGCAAGCATTCTGGGTGAGTGCTTGAGAATAGTGTAACATCAACAGCCTAGCACGAGCAGCTGGCTATTAAAAAGGCGACACCTGTCAGGCCATGCTTGCTAGGACAGTCGTAGGTGAGATTTTGGTGCCACCAAACGGTATGAGATCGATTGAAGCAGACGTGTACTGCAGATATTTCTTCAATTTTCCCGACGTGCCTGCCACTGTTGAATTGCAATGCCGATGGGGAAGTGGCAATCAGATATGAAAAGACATTGGGTACATCCAAGAATAGCTCGGGATAATTAGAGCATCATCACGTAGCACAAACACTGCACAAACACTGGACTCCAGGCACTCTCTTCCTTTGGTTGACAACCGGAGACAGTCCAAGCCGTTGAAGAGCCAGCCACGTAGCTTGTGACCAAAGGCACAGATGCGCGCCAAGTACATCGCTGGTCATCCGCCGTTGTGATGTGCTCAAGAACATTCCACCACTTGATAAGCCACGGATTCACAATGATCTGCAAAGCTCATATCTTCAATTATGCCACAAACAGTGCAACCATGCACAGTGAAGACGATAGTGTTAAAGTACAGTTCTATTGTGTGTGGGAGCGAGAAGGGTTTTGAAACACCCGACAGATGCTGAAGGGCTCATGAGCAGAGAACATAGAAAGCTGGAGGTAAAGCACCTGAACTAAGGAGGCACTTCGACATGCGGGCATGTTCCCAAGAAGGTACTCAATTAGTGATACGCGGATATATGCGGCCCTCGCAACAGTGTCGGTGGAGGCTGGAGGTGTGGAGCTTGGCCGTGTGTGCCGTGCTACAAAGGAAATGCGCGAGCTGATGTCATTTAAGCATGCCACACGTCATTGAATATTCAGGGCTCAGTGAGTGGCAACAAGCCAACAGCCGACTCCCCCCATTGACAATGGCGGGGTAGCGCTGTTTGCCTCAGCGGGCTCATCGTTTTCCTTCAACGCGTCAGGGGATGACTTGCTCTAGTATTGATAGTTGTTGCTGGTCCAGATTCTGGTGGGGATGCGGGCACTAAAAGAATTCTGCTACATGCTTCGCGGTGTTCAAGCAATAAGATGAGCTAGGCCGCGGTGCGCCTGGCATTGAACAAGACGCTGGCAGCATCTGCGGCTCTGCGGCTGTTCAACATTGCATCTAGCGCCCAATTCCCAGCATTGCCTTTGAACTCTGTCCATTACAAACATCAGAAGATTTCCACACATACAGTAAGCCCATCTACATACCCCCACAGCTGAAACAAATGCAAAAGACACCCCCATACCTAGTAATGGCTACTTTCCAGACTCCCCTTGCGATGACGTCTTTTCTGGATCATGTCCAGCCTCCCAGGCTGCGCTTGGGTCGCTTTCTTGACTCGGAGGTGGAATGGAGTCATACAGGCCTCCCCTCTGGCGGGGGTGCAGCAGGCTGTCTGGGACGACCTGATTAGTCACCGGCCTGTCGCAGGCGGAAACCTCAGGCGCCCGTAGGAAAGTATCATTTGATAGCATGCAACAGGTTCAGAATGCACATTTGACTGGTTGAGAATCAGGTCATAGGATAGGCGTCCACTGTGCTCAAGAGTCCTTTCCAGTGCAACTGGATTCAGCATGATGAAGGCAGTTGGAAAGCGCCCAGTAGAATGCCAATGTCCACGGTAAACTTGCGCAAACAAGTGACGTCTAAAGACATAGGGTTCCACAATGCACGCCGCTCGGTGTGTCCCGCGTTTTGTGATTCGCACCATCAACATGAGCGAATGCTGACAGCAGCTGCGCCCGCTGGGGCACGATTAAACAAATCAAACTCTGCACAGTGAAGTGCATGCATTCTGACCGCGAATGGGGCAAATATGCACACAAACGCGGATGCAAAGATCGCTCCACATGCACAGGATGCAACTCTTGCGGTCGCTGTGGCGGCTGACAGCACCCTGAGCACCTTTTCTCTTTCCCAATGGGTTCCTGCGGGCTTGTCTCCTTGCTCTTCTCCCGTGTGATGGCTATTGAAGTCACAAGCTCCTGAAAGCGCCCGACCTCCTCCCCAGAAACATCCCTCGGCCCCACTTGCGTGCTGAAATGGCTGCCATCTGAGTATCCAATTATCTGCATTGCAGACGGGATTGCCCTAATATTGAATGCTTCGGGGCTCAATATGACCAGAATACGAGCTAACTGGAAGTGCTCATTGCTTGCGTACACATGCGTGACCTTAATGCTACATTTGAGAATGCAGTGAGCCTGAACGTGTGTCAAGAGGGTTACCCACAAGTTGGGTTCAAGCCCACTGTTTCTGCACGTAAGATGGGACGAAAGGGAGCAGTACGACTCAACTACGTCCCAAACATGATATCTTTCCACACACAAATTGTAATTCTGTGGGAATCTGTGGATGTGCACAACAACTATGGCATGCATATGTGTGTGAGCTCTATTTTAATTAGTTCACGACTGCACCTGTTCCACTTGAGCGCCTGTCCTCATTGTTGTGAACCATTTTACGACAATTACGCCGTTGGAATTGCACGCTAAATAGAAAACCGCGATTGTAGTAAAAAAAGCAGAGCCCCTAACCAGTGCTAATTTGGCTGCACCGACAAACGAAACGTCATGAAGTGCATGACAGCTGTTTGCCAAACTGGCTAGCTCAAATGTTGTGCAGTGATCATCATCATCAAAATCCGTGGATTACATTTGTCACAAAACACAGCCCGTGCACCTGGCAGGCGATGATGGGCATGAAACCAAGCAGATAGCTTGTCAATCTGTGCAGTGATGCGATTTGCTCACCTTTTCCAGTGGCCCACTGGATGCAGCTTGCATGCTTGCCTCGTCAGCGAACCGCACACGCTTGGCCTGCCCCTCATCAGTGTTTTCAGATCCCATGAGTTGGTGCTTGACGCCTTTTCCAGAATTAACCTGAACCAGCAGCACACAGGTCACACAAAAATTGTGTTTGAAAGCTGTGCACTGACAGCAAACTACAAACAGCAACAGCAATCTCCCTGCAAGTAGGTGCGATTCACTTCTCTAGCATAGCAAACTAATGACAGAAGAGCAATACAGGACAACTAGGACGACCGCTATTGGATGTTCACATCAAAACACTATTGCTGCAACTTTGTCTGCCTTTTTGTGGCTACCGCTTGGGGAGCGATCCCAACAAACAGTGCCGTGGAATTTCTGTTCACTTCCCTGTTGTGGATGGCCCTTGCACACCTATATCATAGCTCCCCAACTCAAATCACCCAACTTAAATATCTCACAATTGCATGTCTCTTCACACCCAACCACATCTGGGAACTATATGCCAAACATCTGGGTCATCGCAGTATCTCGTCTCCAGTGGCACACGTTCAGCACACTTTCGTCACAGTGTGTGAGAAACAAAAACTCCCAAATGGGCAAAATTCGCCCCTTCTTAGCCACATCCTCCGTCACCATTAGGTCCGAACTCTAAATGCACATGCACACCTGATCTCCTTGCAATATGTAGGCTGGAAGATTTTGCTCTCCCAGCCCCCCACCTTTTTTACAATGTAGGTCCGACTGGATGCCCCAAACTTCAACTGTGCTTTGTGCTGCAGCACTTCAGGTTCATTCTGCATAGCAAGGGATGGCAGCAGGACTCAATAGGGCAATTTCGGCAGACCACATTTCAGAACTTCAGAGTGCAGGAGCTTCACAATCCAGATTCGAAGCGCCTCTGCTGCTCCGCACACCCCACCCTTTGGGTACCAGAAATCTCCTTGCCAGCCTACCTGCTGCACTCTCCGACCGTTGCTAAACGTCCCATGGACTGAACCCAGGTCCAGGAGCACCCATTGCTGGTCTGCCCCACGGAAGCAGATGGCAGCATGCTGCCTGGAGATGGATTGGTGCTCCAACACAACGTCCACAGCAATGTTGCGACCAAACAGCACAGCCTGCACAGTGGGGGCACAGGCAGATTCTAGTCTTAGATGCAGGTAGCTGTGTACACAAGGCCAACAAGCAGAAGTGAACAAAAAACGTGTCTAAAGTATTGGGAGGACTGCCACAGAAGCCACTGCTGACAACAGGCGGCGGGCGGATGCACTCTCATCTCCAAGGTGCAACATCCTCTTGTCAAGGAAGTCACAAAGTGTCCTGATCCTGTGGTGTTCACCTTCTTGTTGAGTTTGATCTCATCTATTTTAGCACCCTCCTTCATGACTTCCAAGGCAGCTGTACTTGACGGCTCAGTGGCCCAACTAGGGGCCCTGAAGTTCACAGCCCTTGGGGCAGCGGAAGCCTGACGTTGTGCAGGCACCATGACTGCAGCCTGTTTCTTTCTTTCCTGTCTCCAGGAGCCACCCTCAAAGTCAACATATTAGGGCATCCACAACAGATGCAACAGCATTTCGCTGGACAGGACAGGCGATGTCTAGGTTCCCCAGTGCATGCAAGCAGTGCAAATCCTAATTGACGCTACAAAAGAAAATATGACGACTCAGTGACATGGTAGAGAAAAGATGAGGCCTTTCTGTGCCTGTCATCGCCTGCAGGGCAATGAGTTTGGTTTGTAATTCAGCTGGGACAACTGCAGCTGCAACCCAGGGAATTCACGTCACAGGTACAGATGATGTCCATTCAAAGGTGAAAACAATAATCAGCTCTGGGAATATGAACCAATTGTTGAACTTGCAGAGACCCACTTGCACTCTTGGCATGAGAAGTCTGCACTGAGAAAATAGAGTAGTGAATATGATAAAGCCACATAAGTGGGGCAACAGAAAGTAAGCAAGTAAATGAAAGACATACTTGTAACCTGGTCCATGATTGCATCTTTGGAACCATCCAATCCTCAAGAGACTTAACTTCTATTATAACATACAGTCCAAGCCCCATGCAGCCGTGTCATGATTTAAGGAATGGTAAGTGACATGGCCACTTGTGAACACAACAAACACTTTCATTACTCGGATTCAAACACACCGCCATTAGCATACAATTAATGAGTTGGTGCACAGGCCCCAGTGCAGTTTGACAGCGGAGGAAGGCCACCAGAACATTTTAGAATCAAAGGATTTGGTGCTCTATGTTGTATATTACAGCCTTCCTGGTGCACAGGTCCATTTCTGTCAAGGTATGGAAGCCACAATCGAAGCAGATTGCACATACAATTCTGGAAGGTACCATCTCCACGCCTCCCTGCACATGTGCACCAGGTGTCCCGATGGATCCTGGAGCATGGCAACAAGCAACAAGGGCAATTGAGCCATTGACCAGGCTATTCTTGCAACGCATGTTGCTGCCAGAGAAAACCAATTCAGGTGCAGCAACAGGCACAGTGACAAAAGGGACAGTACTTGCAGCTGAACCCACTGTCAGACCCATTCTTGCCCTGCCATGGGACCCTGCTATTTGCCTAAGACCTGCTGTTGTTGATCTCTTTGTGGAACCCGTTGCTGGGCTGGTACAGGACTTGTATTGCGTTTTGTGACTGTTTCTATTCACACTCTGGCAAAAAGTGACCAAAAGTTTGTTCTTGACACCCACTGTTGTGTGGCTGGCCCATTGTTGAACACAAGCTTGGGGGCCGCTGCAACTGCTGTTGGACCCATCAGGATAGAAACACCAGCACTGTGTTTAGGTTCACAGTGACAGGTGGCAAGAGCATCTTGTTGCACATCTGTACCCGCTGTGGAACAGCCCAGACTGACACCATTGCGATGGAACTCCAATAAAGAGACAAGCAGAGATTCTGCGCCATTCTTGCTGCTGTTGATGTCTGTGTCAGCTCATGCTGCAACACATTTTCACATTGCATGTCCTGAATGAGCCCCTGTCACTACCCAGAGCCGATCCTTGCCCACCTCAGGCGAGGATGGTGGGCCATCGGCTTGTCAAGTGCTTACGGGAGTGCCATTCCCTCATTGAGCCTTAAAAAATATGCATATCAGTGACACATGGCTGATCTAGTGAATCTCAGTTAACCTACAACTGCAGTTCCATTATCTGACCTACAGGCAAGGGTGCACAGGTCTTATTCAATGCTGAAGAGTTGATTCTGGGAGTTTTGGTTGTGCCTTCTGCCCTTTTTTCCATCATATGCGCTCTGTGTAGTTACAAGGCTCAATCCTTCAGTCACCCTTTCTGCAACAAGCTGCAACCATCTAAATAAATAATAAACTTCAAATAGCCCCTTTCACGTTGGATATTTGCAGATCAGGGACGGACACATTTCCTGGTGAAGTAAACAACTTTGTCAAAGTACTCAACCACCCTTGTGCAGACCATTTCTCTCATTCATCACCTTGGCAAGCACCCTGGGCCTGATTTGTGAAAGCTCACAAGCAAAATCGAAATAGTTACACTTGCACAGGCCACTAAAACTATTGCATGGGGACTAGGCTAAGTTGTTGTTTCATTTCTCAGGCCCATATTTAACTCTGCACGGCAGACTGCATGCCATGGAGAAGATGAAATGAACAGTTTGGTTTGACTGGCGCTGAGCCCCGCTGCAGGCTCTCAAGCAAAGGCGAAGTGGAAAACCCCACACAAGCCTTCCAATGCGAACGCATCACACTAGAGGACAACTTGTAAGTGCATGCGGCCATGTTCTTCCTGCCAAAGCTGTTGTACGCCATCTCTTGGCCCGGGGCTCCGCAACGTGTTGTGCAGTACATTTCTTTCAAATTCGTTCGGTAGGCGAATGCCCATTGTACCACCGAGTGTTGTTGTTTGTTTGGAAACATTCCCGTACCCTGAGCGGACTTCACGAAGCCCCCAATGCCCAGGCGGGCGACGCGGCCCTTTCCAGGGCGCTCCTCCAGCGGGTCGTCGGCATCTCCCCACCGATCCATGGCCAAAGGCGAGGCTACCACAGCGTGGGGCCAGCACTAGGCACCGGCGTTTGAACACTCCAAGGGGGCTGTTGGACGAGACCGGCTCGAAAATCAATGTTGAGCCCTCCTTGTAGGGTGGCGGGGCCACTGGGGGGAGAAGAGACCACTCCGAGGAGAAAGGGGGTGGGTGTGAAGAAGGGACGTGGAGGGGGGGGCGGGGGGGGGGCGCAGGTTGTGGGGGACCTACAGGCGGAAGTGGTGTTCAGCGCACATCGATTCGTTACCATTGTGAGGGCGAAATAATTAGTTGTGCAACTAAGGAGGGTTTGATGTGGAATACGGCGCAAATTAACATGACGACTGCGTGGTGAATACTGTGGAACTACCGATAATATGGAGATGAAGCTACTAATAATACGGCGAAACTGCTAGCAAAACTGACACATGAGGAATGCGATTGGGTGCGCTGGCGTTACTTGGGTGTTCTGAATCTCCTCCCTTCGCAAAAATTGCAAACCAGTTTGAAAAGGAAAATAATCACCTTACAACGCCGTTAAGGACAAGACAGCCGAATTGAATTTCTGCGTGAGGACTTTTCGTGTAGCACATCAACAGTCGCGTAGCAAAACATCAACGCTTTCATTCGAAGGTCAACGATCGTGTTCCAAAAATTCTTCAAACAGGGAAGGAGAACTTATCGATCAGACCTTTGTGACACAATAAATCGGTGAATGCCACGCGCTCTATTTGTTTCCCAATGATGCGCACAGCGCAAGATGGATGTATTGTTGCGAAAATTAGTTCTGGAGGGAATTGGCAACAAAACATACACGGTTAAGATTACACAAATTAGTGGCACCTTGTGACAGCTCATTTACTCATAAACGATTGGCAGAAATTGCCTCACATCGAACACTTTGCAACCCTAATTCCACCCCATCTGTTGCGGCTTGAACAGGGCTCTTTTCAAACATTCAGGGCGAAGGCTTGCAGCGCAGACCCATTACGGAGCACACGCGCGATATCCTGTGCTGGGACCGCAAGGATACGGGTGGAAAAAAAAACTGCCCGGCACCAAGTCCAAAAAATGCGCGCCCCGCCGCTCTCGACCCACTCGCCTGTGAGCCCCGCCACAGCCCGGGAGCCCCACGGCCCCTCGCCCGTATGGTGTGCTACAACCTGTACGTCTTCAACAGGGAGGGCACCTGCCTCTATTACCGCGAGTGGTACCGCCCCAAGTCCGTGAAGCACGGCGCCGGCAGCCTGGACGACGACCAGAAGCAGCTCTTCGGCCTCTTCTGGACGCTGAAAAACTTCACGGCCACCCTCAACCCCAGGGACCAGCAGAAGCCCAAGCTGGGGGTGCCACTGAAGATCGGCGAGGGCTGCATCTTCTACTGCTTCCGGACCAACGTGTACAAGCTGCACTTCCTGGAGTCGCCCTCGGGCGTGAAGGTGATCCTCAACACGACGCCCGACGCGGGCGACCTGCGGGACGTGCTGGAGCACATCTACAGCCAGGTGCTTGTGGAGCACGTGATCAAGAACCCGCTGTACGTGCCGGGGGAGCCCTTCAACTTTCAGCAGTTCTCGGCGGTACTGGACCACTACATGAAGTCCAGGGGCATGATCCAATGACGGTGGCGGGCCCCGGCCTTGGGAGCGCTGCTGTGCGTGTCCTGGCGGTGGGGCAAACGCTGTGGGATCGGGGGGTGGATGATTTCCTGCATTCAACGGAAGAGAACTTGGTGGATTTTGGATGGCGGGACACGGAGTTGGCGGTGGCGTGTGCGGGTAGGCATGCTGCAGCCGAGAGCCATGGGACTGCTGTTGGAGGGGTTCTGTGCCCAGGCTGTGACAGAGAAGGCGGTGCGCATGATCCTTTGTCTCAATGCGATCGACATGGACTCCACTGTTTGCCTGAGCCATGTGGCCTGCTGAAGGTGTGAGGTGATCGTGATGCTGGGCTGGGCTGGCCAGGGTTTGGTTGCATCACAATTGGCTTTCACATGGCACAGGCTACAGCACACGTGAAGGCCTAGCAACGGTGTGCAGTGGTAGATGCTGTGTATGAAGGCCAGGGCTTTGCAGACCTGTGTGCAGTACACTGGCAACAATGCCTTGGAAGACTCCAAGGCACGTGGCACAAGATTCTGTGCTCAATATGTTGGCAAGTAGACTGTGCTCCAAGTTTTGCACAAGACTGGTTCAGAGTTGAATGTGTATGGAACTGGACACCTTGATCCAAGCAATCTGGAAAATGCAGTTTTAAACATCTTGTGTGCGTTCTGGAGAGGCGCTGCACAGGCCAGCCACAGCCATTGCAAGGTATGTGAACAAGAACACACCTTGTGCTGGTTGAATTGTCTTGTGATCCTTGCCTGATTGCAACTAATAAGAATATGCGACGACGTTATACATTGGTTGGAAGGAGTCCCCGCCTGCGTGTGCCAAAATGGAGGGGCTTGCCTGCCTGGCTGACTTGCCAAAGTGTCCCTTTGTTGTGAGGAAGAATTGGCATTGACGGCATTGAACAGAAGCGGCAGCTTGGCGATGTGGTTGCGAAGTTGGGGAGCTGAAGGCATGATGGAGAATGGGCGGCTCGAGTCCTGGCAATAGAGGCAGTTCTACACTGCTTCTGCTCATCATTTTCTTGCTGGAATCGACAAACCTCCGGCTATTTATGCGATGAATCTTGACACATCATTGTCAATGTCCCATCTGAGCCTAACTTCATCGAGCGAAGGAACCGTGAAGTATTGAGCTTGTCCTGTGACACAGCTGTGCGAGTTGGACAAGTGGCAGAAATGCATCTGTCTGGGTAGAATTGGCGCCATGCCAAAGAATTGTCCAATTCACTTTTCAACCTTGAACGTCTGCAGAGTGATGACACAGCCCAAATTGCTGTCTTCGTTTCAGAATTTCCTGTTCAATTGGCGACTGGCGTATGCATTCATTTTGTGCACGAGCAGCACATCAGTGTCTAAAGGTCGTGCATTGGTGTGTTGTGCACATCTGTTATACCGTAGGCGCCCGACCTCCTCGTGTTGTTTGACCCCTTTGCTCTGTAAGTGGTTGGGTTTGGAGGTATTGCACGAGCGTCAACCTTGCCCATCTGTCTTGTGTTTGAACATGACCACCACTCTTACAATTAGGCTTCCGTTTGTACAAGAGGAGGACGTACATAGAATCCGTCGTTTCTTATGGAAAATGTTCCACTTCCTGGCACATCTGCCCGACCTACTACACGATTGAATCGGGCCGATTCCCAGCAGCCGACCCAACAGTACTTGTGCGGCGCCTCCCCTAAACCTGCTTCACTGGCCCAAGGCCCCAAGGCACCGAAGGCCCAAAGCACCACCCACCTGCCCCACCCGGCCAACCGCCATCAGTACGCGCAGCCCAGCGCCCGCGATGGCAGACAAGTCCACCGTGCGGCGCAAGAGCCCGGCCGAGTTCTTCGCGGAGAACAAAAACATCGCGGGATTCGACAACGTGCGTCGGCCCCCCTCCCGCCCACTGCCGCCGATGGCTTTCGCGAGGCCTCGACCGCGCCACTGGCTCGATGCCTGACGGCGCGCGTGGCGACGTGCGCAGGCTGGAAAATGCCTCTTCACCTCCGTGCGGGAGCTCGTGGAGAACTCGCTGGACTCGGCGGAGAGCATCTCCGAGCTGCCTGACGTCGAGATCGGGATGTGAGTCGCCGCGCGGAACCCGCTGCGGCACCGACAACAGCTCGCTTGGGCAGTTTGGGAGGCGGAAGGGTGCCCGCAGCAGTGTGGGTGGATGGGGCGGCTCTGACAGGGGCGGCATTTTTCTTGCAGAGAGGAGGTTTCTCAGAAGGCGCTCAATCGGGTGCGTGGGGTCGAGAACCACGAGCGGATCGACGAGGCACTGTATCAAGATTTCGAGACGGAGAACGAGAGGAAGGTGGGGCGGCGATGGCGCTGGGATGGCCCGATGTGGCCATTGTTTGGTTGGATTCCGCGCTGAGCGTGGAGTGCCTGTCACGTGTGTTTGGCTTGTGGTGCGCAGAAAAGACTCGCGAAGGAGGCACGCGACCAGGAGCGCCTGGCCAAGCTCGTGGCAAACGTGGGTGGGCCGCTGCGCCAGCGCTTTGTGAAGCGTGAGGACGGCTTTGCCTTGAATGCGTGCCCATCAATGTAGCCAGAGCCGCAGCTGATCTGCAACTCACTGTCAGTCAAGACTGCTCCTGGGGGCAGGGTCCTTGGGGTGTGTAGTGGTGAGAAGGAAGTCACTGCACTGGCACCCTTTTGGGAAAAATGGGACAGTACAATGTGATATGATTGGGCTTATGTGAGAGGGACAGTGCCTGTTGGCAAAATGTCCACAAACACTTTGTTGCCCATGTGCACCGGAAATTTCTCCACCAACCAGTTCGAACATGCCTGACAGAATACTTGATTCAGCTGTTGCTGTCCTGCTGAAGAGCTTTGGTAATCACGTCTCATAAAATGTCTTGAAATTTGGGTTGTAGTTTGCTGTGATTCTATATCAATCCACAGTGGATAGTGCCAATCTCGAATTAAGGAGAGCATTAGAACCACACATCTCGATCCTTATTTGATTCAAGCAGCCTATGAATGCGACAGAAAGGCATGGATGCGATGGAAGTCGAAGCCAAGCGCAAAGAGATCGAGGCGAAGAAGCTTGCCCAAGCCTCCAAGCAGCGCACCTATTACAAACTCACAGTTAAGGTGGGAAAAACCTTTGGTATTGACACTGGGTGCAGTTTTGGGGATTCAATCCAGTGATATATCTGGAAATGCCATTTGACAATGAAGAGATTTTCATGTGCTGGGGCAGTTGCCATCAAATGCTGGTTGGTTGCATTGATGCAATTGGATCTTATGGCTGTGGAAACTGTTATGTGGCAGGACAATGGTGCTGGTATGCCACACCAAGACATCCCCTCACTGCTGGGTGTGGTCCTTTCTGGCACTAAGTACCAGGTCAAGCAGACACGTGGAAAATTCGGACTGGGTGCAAAAATGGTTCTCATCTGGTCTAAGATGACAACTGGCCTCCCGTTCGAGATCTGGAGTGCACAGAAGAACCAGAAAAAGAAGTCGCACTACCTTCTGGACATTGACATACACAGGTGGAAAGCTACCATTGGCATCTGACCCTTATGGATAGAGCTGTGGAGAGTTTGCCCTGCAGTCGCACTCAAGTGTCAAAAACATAGTGGGCTGTAGTAACAGAAGCCAGGCAGGAGCAACGGATATGCCTGAAAATTGGTGAGAGGGGTCACAACCCATGGCGCTGGGGCATTGAATGGCTTCTGTACGTTGCATGACAACATTCATGCGGGAAGCATGAAGTGTGTGATGCATGAAGTAGATTGCCTGGCGTCCCATCGTTAATCGATCCAGCAGCTGAAATGCCAAAGATCTCAAACTGGTGTGTAGCCATCGCGAAGAGTTTGTTCAGGTTTCCCGCATGCACTTGCCACATACAGATACCACATGTTTTTTGGCTCCAGTTGCCTGACTGCCAACAGTGTGAGGCAAGCCACACCACCATAAAAACTTTGGTGAGTAAAGATTGGACAGATAGTAGGAAAATACTTGAGTGGATGTGTGCAACTGGCTTCTCTTGCATCCCATTGATCTTGCTAGCCCTAACCGGCTTGAGTTCTCTCCAGGAATGAGCCCAACGTACACAAAGTGGAGCTGGTTGATAACGCTGATGGCTGGCATGGAGTGGATGTGTCAGTGACCATCGAAGGTGACTGGAACAAGTGCCGTGCGAAGGTGCTGAACTACTTGAGACAGATAGCCGTGATCACGCCATATGCCAAGTTTACATTTACATACTTGAGCCTGGCAGGCAAGGGCAATGTGTCCAAGGTATACCGCCGACGCACAGACGTCATGCCCAGACTTCCAAAGGTGGGTTTCTGGCAAGTACATCCAGGCCATAGAAGATCCTTGCGATGCCAACTCTCATCATCTGCAAATCAACTCCTTTGTGGCTAGTATAGTACGACAATTAATCAAGCACAGTAAGCCCTGCTGGACTCTTATCTGTGAAGAGTTCGAGTCAGCAGGATCAAGTTTGGATTGCTTTTTGATCGAAATACAGCATTTGAGTTTTTGAGCTGCAACAATATGCAGTGCAGTGAACTGTGGCTTGTACAGGAAATGAAGTACCACCCATCTTCCGTGGACTTGGAGCTGATAAAGAACCTGATAGCCCACACCAAGCAGACAACTGTGGAGGCCTTCCTGCACAAGGATTTTGACTGCATCGACAAAGAATATGCACGTGAGAGCTCCATCGGATTGTTGCTTTGTCAGCACATGAGTGTATGTGGAATTTGATGGTAATTTTCATCACAAGCCAGCGGAGCACCTGGCTGTTCTGCAGTCTTGGCCAACAGTGGCAACTCATGTGATCAGTTTCGTAATTTTCACAACCACGTCTGCCTCAGCATGGTGGCAAGTAACACAATAAGCGTATTATTTTTGGAACCTGTCTGCCCACACGTGTCGTCAAAGAGAGCTAAAACTAACCACACCCAACCATGGCCAATAGTAGTAGAGGAAGTAAGGTGCCTCAATTCCCCTCCAACACTGGCTGCTTTGATTGTGTTAAATGGAAGAGTGTGCACTGGTGCCAGCAGCCACAGAACAGGTTTGCAATGTAGGCATAGACTGTAAGTCATTGGGTCCTTGCTGCTGAGTTTTTAATGTGTGGAGCATAGTATACCATTTGCGCTCAGTACCCTAATGTGTGTGCAACCGATTTCAAAACTGTACTTGCAAATCTGGTATAGGGGCAACAGCTGTTCTGATTGTGCAACTTTGGCTGTGCTATTCTCATGCTGTACAGAATTCCATTATCAGCAAAGGGAGTGGACATGGTGATCTTTGCTTCGCATTGACTGCTCTGCAGGTCGTCTAATTGAAGAAATGCGGGGTGGTGTGGACCCAGACACAAGCCCGCAGGAACTGACGAACAAGCACATTATTCGAATACACCAAATTTTGCATCAAGCACGGTTTCCAGATCCCACCGGTGCACATTTGAGTCCAGCCGGGGAGTACAACATAAGGTTGGGTGTCATGAAAGAGATACAGCCAGATTTGGTGGCAACATACCAGGGTGTGTTCTTTACCCTTCACCACCATGCTTTTAGCAGTCCATGCAGTTTTGACGGACCACATTGTTGTTTCAAGTGTTATCTTTGTACTGTTGGAGTTAGTCCTATTTAGGGTACCTGCAAGTTAGAGAACTCAGAATTAAATTCTCCTTGTCTTGGAACAGTGCTCGACGGGTTGAAATGTAGCAGATATTAACATTGCTGGATCCACATTGTGCCTGCTGTGGAGTCTCTAATAGTAGCAGTAGCAGCACTCACCCATTTGAATCCAAGAATTTCAATGGGCCAGGGGCATCTCTTGAACCAGCAGTAGCTAGGCCATGGATTCTTGCAGTGATTTCCAGGCCATGCCGCAGACTTAGATGTAGAGATAAACAGCACTTGTATTTCGTGAAATGTTCATTGTGCAAAAGGCCTCAATCGTTGTCCGGGTGTTCCCTGCCTGTTGCTTTGTTAATTGCTACAGACAAATCAAGCAGTGCATGGCTTCTTCCTACAGTGCATGCATGTGCCCAATTGTCCAATGCTATTGTACATGTCATCGTCAATGTAGATGTCAGCGAAAATGAATGGCGCCCAGCAGTAAGGACTTGAGACTCTTGATATTTCTGCTGCAGGTGATGTGCGTGTGTTTGAGGGACACGCTTTCATCGTTGAGGCGGCTGTGAGCTGTGGAGGCAACATTAACCCAGGCATAAACATTCATCGATATGCAAATCGTATTCCGCTGTTGTTCGAGGTGAGCTTGGCATCGTCGTTCACGGCTCAGGTGCTTTAAATCTCGGCATGTGTTTCACTGACTGTACTCAATTGCAACATTTTGATTGGTACAGGTGTGCTCTTGCTTGTGCAAGTGTGAACTATAGGGAAACCTGCCAATGGGATCTCCAATATGACCTTGTTGAAGATGGCTGCTAGTTGAGCTGATGTCGTATGGTGGTCAGCACAGGATGGTCTCAGCAGGGTTGAAGAGGCGCTGGCATATTCTTGATCATCAACACGATGTCCTTGTGCACAGGGTCCATGGTGAGGATCCTGAACCAAGCCCCACACGTGTGCAATTTTGTGAGCTGACAGGCACATGTGCTGTAAGAATGGAAACGTTTTTCTGTGTGCCTGAGGACACCTGACTTCCTGTTGGTTCCAGGCAGGTGCAGATGTCATAACTAGGACAGCACTGAAGCGGATCAACTGGAAATCGTACAAAATTAACCAAACCGGTGACAAGGTCGGGGTCTTTGTCAGCATTGTGAGTACCAAGATTCCTTTCAAAGGGGTGGGCAAGGAGCACATAGGTACGTGCATTGGCACCTCATTGTGGGTGGGAATGCAGAATTGGCCCCAAGTCACCCATCTGAAGGCGTTGATGCCCAGCAGCACCTTGTATTTGAAAGGGTGAACGAGGTCGATCGCACAGGTGCCCGAGGCTGTTGAGCCTGTTCTATGAGAATTGTGCTGTCAAAGAGGAGCCCAATGAGTCCAGTGTGGGAAATCCTAGTTTTTTGCTTCTGTAGATGAGAGCAAGCAAGCGTTGTGTAAGAATGCAACAGAGCTTTGGTCCTTACAAGTCACTAATAGAGAATAGTTAAGTGGCATCAATATCAACAGGCTTGGCAATCGATCCTTGCGTAGTGCAACAATTTGCAGTTAGAATTATAACTACCATCTATACTCACTCAAGGCTTTGTAAATGCGAAGCATCGGAACTGTGAGCACTTGTCATGGACTCATATTGTAGTTGTGTTGCAGAAATTCAGCGAAGCGTACAATAAGCCCAGTTTGCATTATTGACGATGTTTTTTTTGGTATCAGGCGATGACATCGAAGAAATGGTGCATGCAGTGAAGCAGGCACTTCAGCATTGCTGCATACAGGTATTTCTGCATTGCCTTGTGTGCCTGTGTCTGCAGCGCCGTTTGAACCAAAGTGTATTCTACTCCCACCTTGTTGAATCTGAGACAAGAAAAATGCCTAGAAAGAATTGGTGACAACGATTGACAGTAACAAAAGGCAAGTGAGGTAACCAAGCATCAAGACCATTGGTCGCCAGAGAGAATGTGTATTCCACCGCTGTGTGGTGGTGATTGTTGGGCTGTCCACCAGGATGCATGTTGGCTGCTGTGGACATTGACAAAACTGATGGTCTGTGTTTGCCAGTGTGTGTTTCAGTGGCTTGCCTCCCAACCAAGCCTGCGAACTATCCCCAGCTTTGTGCGAAAAGTGGGACATGCAAATGGGTAGTTGCTTTTGAGCTCTCCTGTTTGACTTGACTGAGTTGGTTGCGTCCACGCAGTTAAAGGGTAAGATCACAAGAGCGATTGCGATCAGCGAGCAGAGTCACAGAAAACGCAACCTGGCCAAGTACATACCCGATGCCATCAACAGCATATATTCTGTGCTGGAGTCGATGGCGGATCACAAGCCGTATGGTCCCAAGCGGCAGAGGCTCGAGGAAAAGCACAACCTCCCCCAAGAGATTAAGAACAGGGCTGTCACAAAGGAGGCGATGTTGAAGAAGCTCACAGAACATGTGGAACGCATCGATACTGATATGGTGAGTCACACATCGCCGTTCCTGTTTTGCCATTATCGTCCTGGAATGGAATCATCACCGGGCTTGCAGTTGTGCAAATCTGTTTCAACCACAGCTGTTAAGGCGTGATGAATCGCTGCCCTTTCGCTGGTTGTATCACTGCTTTATGTTGGGACTTCAGCTTTCGTGTTTTCAATTTTGATTGTGGCGCTGCCGTGTCGAGGCGCCATGGAATCGCGCACCTTGAAAACAGATCTGTGACAGCTAAGCTAATTGGTTGTTGCCAAGGCGCCGCCAGCTGGCAACGCTCAGGACTATTGGACTGTGATAGAGGACAAGATCGCATTGGGAGGAACGCAAATGAAGGTTAACAAATCATTCAACGGGGGTCCCAACTTCACATAGGAGACCTGGAGACAATGATATGAAGTGTTCCTAATGAATGTGGTCGATGCGAACATGTGCCAAACTGTTGCTGTGGCGCAGGCGCTGGAGTACCAGATGCAGGTTGGACTCACCCAGGGAGGGCGGGAAAAGCTGCATCTGACACCGCTGGGAGCGCAGCATGAGCATCAGCAGGCCATACACGCCCCCCTTTGCGTCATTAAACTGTTGCAATAACTGTATAAATGCAGTGTAATATGTTCCTATTATCTCTTTTAGTTCTTGATCTGAACTCTGTTTCAAGCGGCGGTTAGCATTGTGTGACGATCAGCGGTTAGATGTGATCATGAAGTATCCCTCTCGAAAGATTGAAATTAGCCTGGCTCCGTTAGTCACCCTGAGCAAAGGCAACGACCTATTGACTGATATGCCAGATCCCGACCCCAGACGCCAGGGTTGACAAGAGTCTTGAAGCTGCCATACTCACAGGCGCACAGTCAGGTGACGGTGGAAAGACTGAAGCCAGCAGGGGCTCAAGTTTCCAGACAACATGGGTACCACTTCCAACTCTAGGAACACACCTCGCTGCGGTGTCTTCAATCGACCCTGTCCAGGTCATGGATTGGATCACTCGGCGAGCACTCATCCAGAGGGCCAAGTTGCTACATTCTGCAACCCTGGTGTCGCTGGTCAAGAAGTGACAGTTTTTCGGCGCGTCGCATGTGCCTCATCAATGTGGATGGTTCAATGAATGAAGTTAGCTCTGAGAAAAGCAGTTTGGGGGCCGGACGTCGTCAAACATTTGGATGGAGCGCAAATAAGAAAACATCCCAATTGTATTTTGGTGGGCGAAAGAGCTCATTTGCATTTGAATGCAGGTGCCGATGGTCAAAACGACGTCTATTAATGCATCCCTGCAAGAGGGACTCCATTGCATTAGTCAGTTAGGGTCCGTTCTTCTGGAGTTGGTCTGCGTATTTCCACTGAACTTATGTGCACGTTGGGAAATCACATACCTGTCCTCAAGAGACCAGCGGTGATTGTCTTTCCTTCACTGGCATTCGACCTTCTTACTCTTGTAGACTGTAGCGAGGAGCTGCAGGATTGCGATCGAGCCTACGCTCTGGTGAAAATCGGCCGTGCCGTGCGCTGGAAGCAGCTGTCTTCTTGCCACAGTGACTAAAACATGACGCTTCGTCCCACCGTGGCGCATCCCGAAAGGCTGAGCGCAAGCCTGGTCGCCGCGAAGCACCAAATGCTTTGAAACGCCCTCTTTGCTGTCGGGAACGAGTCGCTCGCCCACATTGGGGGCGCATGACAAGCTTGGATTAAGTTCTCGCTGGTTCAGCCTCATGATCACAGTTCATTGCGCCGTTTCTGCCTTACCAGTCTCCTGTGCCCACCCCGTCATGTACCCCCATGACAATACTTGCAAACAACCGTCAATGTCACATACCCGAGGCTCCCATCCGTCAAGACTTCGCCAACACTTCAACGCCACTCAGTGAGTGACTCCCCGTGAGTCAGCTCCCATTCCCATACTTCACTCCCTCAAACCACTCTCCATCCCACAAATACCCACGAACACCACTTTCCAGGGCTGGAGGGCTGGGTGCGAAACAAGATAAGGAGGGGGACCGAGGGGTTCCCTAAATAGCCGCCCCTCGCCGCCCCACCAAAGCCCGCCAAAGATAAGGGCACCATCGCCTGCAGCGCCTCGTATTTTCGTACTTTGAAAGACCCACGGTACTAGGGGCCTCAGAAATCCCAAGGGACGGGGGTTGAGTAGACCCAAGGTTCAAACTGCACCGTCTGATTGAGTGGTGCAGCCCACCCGTCGTCGTCCTTGGCAGAAACCCATTAACAAAAAAGTTAATTTCATTTCTTGCAGTGAGATCGTGACGTTCTGGGCTGTTGCTCCTGCGGGTATCTTAGCCTCGCCAAGGTTGAGTTCTCTGCCATTAACAGGAAAGTTAATTTCATTTCTTGCAGTGAGATCGTGACGTTCTGGGCTGTTGCTCCTGCGGGTATCTTAGCCTCGCCAAGGTTGAGTTGTCTGCAGCCCGGCACAGAGACGCATAGGATAAGTCTCAGTTGCGCTCGTGCAAAGACCGTCGGTGTCTGTGCGGCTGGTTCACGTGCGATGCGAGGCTGTGGTTTCACGGGGTGGGGTGTATCAGCTCGGCTGGAGGCTTGCGCTCAAGTTGGATGACGCCAGGGTGTGTTGCGTCAAAGATGCTGCGAGTTAGTCAACCGCTGCACACTCAGCAAATGCACAACGTAGCTGCTCAGGCAAAGGACATACGCTCTTCTTGAGGCGCTTTCTGTCTTCGTAATTACTCAGCGCCAGGCTCGTTTGGTGGTGGAGCGGCTCCTTTGCAACTACAACTTCTTCCAAGTCGAGGCTCCTCCCCGCCAGTGTATGTAGCGCATTCCACTGAACATCCAACGCACTTGACTTCTTCGAATGTGTCAAAGTACTTGGGCATGCGATGATGCATCAGGGACTGATCGTTGTGCAAGCATATCCGCATTTGGCGTGCAATGAATTGCAGTGCTTTTGCGGACGGAAGAACAGCTGCACGGCTTCGACGAGCCTGGCACAAACTGGATCTCTCAGACGCGCTCAATTTAATCGAGTTTATTGCTGAGCGAAATAAAAAGAACAACCAGCAAATGCATGGCGAACACCTATTTTGTCGGCTCTGATACATATCTTCATTCCAACGTTGTTGCAAATTGCGAAACATTGGGTAGAAAGGCTATCCCAAACACCCGCTCCCTCTCAGCGGTTTCTATGACTGTCTTCATTGCTGTCGATCTGTCTCCACGTGCTACTGGCCCTCGTGTCATCACATTTGACTGTAAAGCAGTCCACGACACTGAGACAAGCCGTGGGCCTCAAACGCGCCCCGAGGTGGCAAACAACAAGGAAGGAGCGGGTCAGGCGGGCAATCCATTGATGGATTCGACCTGGGAAGCTTTGTCCGAAGTGTGGCCGGTAAGCAGCCTCCAGCATAACGCCGCAAGGAGGCGGACTTTCGTCAGGGCTGTCGTGTCTTCCTCCACTTTGATGTGTGCCCGGAGCAATATCTTGTCGACAACCTTCCAGGCCTCTCGCACCAGCTCCACGAGCAAGTACAGCAGCACACCCAAGACACTGACGATTAAGACCACGGACACAATGATCTTGCCTGCATCTGATGTGTTTGGGTCGTTGAATATCAGTGCCGTCAAGTAAGCAAGTATTGAGCATGAGAGCGATACGGCCTCCATGCGATGCAGGTTGGGCCCCACTGTGACAAACGGCTGTGCCCACAAGTGGGCAATGGCAGCAATCACCAGCACTCCCACAGCCAGCGTAGCCTGCAAATTGGCTCGGAGAGAGAAGTCAAACACAGAAATGGCCGCCAGGCAGACCTTTCTAAGCATAATGACTACCTCCCAATATCGGCTACCAGGCCTATAGGACCAGTAGAGAAAGCCGTATGTGCCCAGGAAGGCCGGCGTCTCGAATTTTCCACGGTCTCCGGCAGAAAATATCAGCAGCAGTCCAAATGGGAAACCGAATGTCACGACCACAAGCACGGGCACTGCCAACGCCAGCGTCAGAGTTAGGTGGCCGCCCTGACGACAAATTGTGTCAGTGTCTCTCACCCAGTAGCGAGATCCGGCGACGGCATAGCCTTCGGGCTGATCGCCCTCATCAACTTTCACGCAATCGAAAATGATCACCATGTTTCTGGCCATCTCAATGTAGACAAAGTAGAAGATAACCAGAGCGCACACATGCCAGCGACGGAACAAGAACGCCAGGGACCTGGACTTCGCAATTGTGAAGACTGACAACAAAGTCATCAAGACGACTTGAAGCATGAGCGGAAAGAGCAGGCTGACGATGGACATCTGCGTCGACCGGGGAATGGAGGACATGTTGCTGAAGGCGCATTCAAAGGCAAACAGCCCTTGGCCTCCAGAAGCAGCAGCGTCGGCAACGCCCAACGTCCTGGCGACAGAGCGTGTCCATCCGGCATTGATGAAAACAGCGACGCCCGTGACTTGCAAGAAGTTCACGGTTATCTTGAGGATGTCAGAAGAGTAGTTTCTGTTTCTGAGAATCTCCGCCACCAAACTTTCTTCATGATGCACCTGTACGCTCCTGCTTTCTTCGGCGTACGGGGGAGACGCACCTTGAACTAAGAAGGCGATGCTGCCTGACAGTTGTGCAGATGCTGCCGCCGAAGAACTGGCGTCCGGGGGATCAGTTGACTCCCTTGGAAGGCAAGTTTTGCGCCTTTTGGTGGCAGGCACACCTTGTTGCGCCCCTCCAGTCAAACCGGCGATTTCCTCATCAGAAACGACGGTGAGTACGTTCTTTGCCAGAACCGAAACGACAATGAACAACCAAAGCGCCACGATGGAGGCGAAAATTGCGTTTCTTGCCCGACCTCTGCATTCAACGCACTCCCCGGACCGCACTTTTCCATGGGTGTCGTCACACGCACCGCAAAGTACGCCATGGTATCCTGGTGCGCACTGCGGATAATCTTCGTCGCTGCTGAATTCCAGAAGGGAGCCATTGCTGTGAGCCACCATCGCCCTTTCCGCCAACAAATCGCCCCTTGATTTCCCACCCCCTCGCTCCATCGTGCCCTCATTAGTACTGCAAGATTCTTCATTGATGCACTCGTGAAGCTCAACCGATTTCGAGGTAGAATGCCAGAAGCCATCTCGGGGTGTCACTGTCGATCCCTGGCATTCGGCATTGTCCGGACACCTTGCGCATGGCATGCCAGGGTCGAAGCTGTACAGGCCGCTCTCGCAAACCGAACAGGTCTCGTTCCGGAAAGGCGTCTCTCCAGGCACGCACGATCGAACTTCCACCTCGATGTCTCTGCCGGGCAGGTTGCCTGTGATGAACGACAGCCTCAAAACATGCGTCTGGCCAACCTCCGCCTGCAACCGTATGCTTGTGAGATTCGTGACGGCACCCAAGAACGCAATGAGCTGCCCTGATGTCAAGATGCCGGGTGCAGCAGGCTCAACACGCACTTGCACGTCGGGCTGCCCGAAAGCGGTGTGGTTGAACGAGTCCAGCAGCCGCACTGTGATGTTCTCCAATTCCTCGCCACTGACATGGTTTAAAATCTTGAGGGGGGCGCCGTCCCTGGCACAGGCGCCGTCCTCTGTACACAGTTCCGTAGACCGAGCCGTTGTACCCACGACATCGCTGTCAA